CAAGCAGATGGCACCTGTCAAGTATCTGTTACAAATTGCTCTGGAAGATGTTTAGAAACCACAGGTGATCTTAGGGCAGTAGCCACCATCTTTTTTCAGGCCCTTTGTTGTTTTTGGAAAGTTTACTACATCAAGGTTCCACCAAGATAAAGATATACAAAGTGTGTTTTATGTCTATTTTTCTTGCATGATAGTGAAACACAGAAGTGTCCTGAAGAGCAAAAAGCTTGACTTAAAGTTTTTATTTTCTTTATTACCTTTTCAAAACTAAAAGCTATTACAAGAGGCTGTGAGGTTGTGCATTAAGATAAGAGGCAACGAGACTGTGCAGTACTGAAACCAGCAATTACTGCTATAAGCACTGTAACCAAACCAGTGCTATTCTTGTATGCAAAAATAATCGAGGTGGCAAGACAAGATGAATTTTTTCAGGGTGTATTGATTTTAATTTGGCGGAAGGTATCTAAAGCTACCAATAATTCACAAAGAAAATTTGTACCTGCCATTTCAGAAGCTCAGTGTTGTTTAATTTGAAGAATCTTTGTAGATTTTGCCATGGAAATTACTTGTCTAAATATGTTCTGGAGGTAGCGAAAAGATGAACATGCAAGATGCTGAACACCACACCTTGGCCCTGTCTACACAGGGCTTCAGAAGGCAAATGATAAAGCTGTTGTGTCTGTCTTCCCATGAGATTGCAGTTTTCTCAGCCTCCACTGAAGCGAAGATTTGTCTCTCTCTTCTACCTCTCACTAATAGCCAAGGATCAGGTAAACATCTGTGGGGTCCTTTTTCATGGTTTGCCCCCCTGTGAGACTCTCTGTGTGCCTGCTTATTTGTTTAGATCTGCTTTGACTAATGGACAATGTGTAAAGCTGTTTGGATGATGACATTAGCTTTAGACTCTTCCTTACCTACTAAACTTCACAAGAATGAGATGAGTTACAGAAGCTCCTTCGGTTTTCCTTGTTAATGATTCTGCTGCCTTGCAGTTGTTATTTATGTGTTTATCCTGGGATAGTTCTTTTCTGTATGCAGTCAGAGTTTTATCGGTTGCTTTCCGGACAAGCTAAGACTTTGAGAAAGCTTTGGGGGTTTGGAGGGGTGTTGTTCAGTTGCTTGATTGAACAGCAGTGAGCTGTCATAATCTGGAGTTTCATCAGAATGGCATCTGATAACATGTCACATAACACGTAGTGGTTAGCTAAGTAGCTGTTTGAAGATCTGTTTATTCCCAGCAAGGCCACAACTGTGGTCTGTCACTAGCATCTTTAATTGCACACGTCTGCACAATGGTGTTATAGTTCACTCTCCATGTTTACAGGTGTTAACTGCTTGGATTCAGCTTCCCAAATTACTCCTGGTGTGTATGTTCATGGTGCAGCTTGTATTTTCAAATTACAGGAAAGCTAGACTGCTTCCCAATCTCTTGCCGCATTACCTTCCAAAAAAGCTTGCTTTATTTTTGGAAATCACTGACTTTTAGTTAATCAAAGTCTCTCTCAAACGTTTTTACCTTTTCAGAAGTTCAAATGCTGTTTTCTTGTGGCCTTGCAAGAGGTTTTCTGACCCCTTTTTACATTAATCCTAGCTTTGTGCTTTACAGTAGGCATGTTGCATTTGTGATTCCTGTTCTGGAAAAAAGCCAAGTCACTTATCGTATAGCTCTGCATCACTAAAGACAATACTGATTCTTGCTTACTTGATCCCTTTCTGTCAAAGCCAGAATATTGCATCTCTTTGATCAAAGGGATGTCTTCTTCATATCTCATGCCTTTCTAGATACTTCTAAAAAAAAATACAGTGGTAATTTCAATCGTGTATGCATGTCTCGGGCAGTGGAGGTGGTAATTAAATGGAGATGTTAGAAATCAGGTTAGTAATCAGGCAGAGAAATTGGCATGAAGGGACAAAGGAAGTTAACAACGTGACCTGTGTGAGTGTAGTACACAGGGAACATCTGAGGACCTGACTTGCTTTCTGTGCTGGTACCTCCAAAGTATTCCGTGGGGGGTTTTTTCTGGTTTTGAGCCACAGGCAAACAAGAATACACAGTGGCTTTTTCTGTAGTAATAAACTAAATACCACCTAATAAACTAAACACTGCCAAGGAGTATTTATTCCCAGATACCTGAATGTGATTATTTGTATGGCCAAATTATCCAAATGATCCTTGGCAAGGTTTTTGGCCCGTGCCAACTAGCCTCTCCCAGCCACTGCTGAGGACCCACCGCAGACGGGGGCCTGTGCCGGACAGGCAGCTTGAGCGTTACCCGCTCTGAGGGTGTAGAGGCCAGCTGACCTCAGTGTCACAGAACTCTTCTGCGCATCTTTAAATCTTGCGTATAGACTGTAGCTATTAAGCGCTGGAAGAGTGTCTGTCTTTGTGCTAAATCCCATGGTCAGCAACGTTCAAGGTGACACCCCTTCATGAAGAAAGTTACATGCGGATCATTTGTACCCTGTCAGCTTTAAAATGCTACTACTTTGATGTCTGTGCATGGGAATAAGCTGTAAGATGACACGATAGCCCTTCCACCTTCAGAGAAGCTGTAGACACAGGGTATTTGTAAGGTTTTCTTAACTGCATAACCACAGCCATTGTGAACGTTGGGTATCTTAAAAGTGAAGTTGGCATGATGCGTCTCTGAGGCAATATTTGTTCTGCTTTCTTTATGAAGAGTCAAAATCCATCAGTTATTTTTCAGCACATTTTTATAGCTGATTTTGCAATGTAATAGTCATTATCACCATTTTAAATCTCTTGGCCCTTCATATGCCTTGGGTTGCTTCTTGATGTGAAGCTGCAAAGGAGTTATGTGAACGTAGTGTTTGTAAAATGCTTTGAAGATGAAAAGCTCTGCTGTAGGTTTTTATTATTACCAGAGGCAAAGTGAGCAGCAGTGGCTTAATGTTGGACTGTTCATTTCCCAAGAGATGGCTTTGTTTTGAAGAGTGCACATTATCAATTGGGTTGGAGACAAAATTATCTTATTTCAATCCTGAATGTAAATAAATTGGCAAACTTTCTACCTTGAGATTATTTGCATGAGATACTTATAAAAGAGTAGAACAGTTACGATACTATCTATGGCTCTGGTCTTAGCTTATGTTTAATGGAACGTTTATTTAATGTATTTGGCTTCTACTATCCATGGCTATTTTGAATCCAATCCATTCAAGCATCCTTATATATATATAGCAGTATTCTTACATCTATATGATATACGGATATATAGGGGATACTTATTTGAGAAATACATATATTTGAGGTACATATTGCTCTTCTAGAGATAAAATCAGTTTCAGCATGTAAATAAATAAGTGGTCTGCATTCAGAAATGGTGACGTTTTATTAGAGTTTGGTTCACAGACAGTTTTTCACGTGTTCAACCTACCACATATAAAATAAACGGCTTTTTTTTTTTAATAGCACTTTAAATATTTCTTGAATCATTTTTATTTCCAGCCTCTATCTACATCATAAACGGATAGGTGGTTGTACAGGGACACACACAAAAAAAAAAGTGAGCTCTTTGGCAGTTTTCAAGCTAATTCTGTTTCCTTGTGAGTTAGAGGAGAAGGGAGGGAGCTGCTTCGTTCAAATGGAAATTCAACTTCAGCTCGCTAAGCGGGGGACTGCTTCAGGGACACCGGTGTCCTCACGCGGTTCGTTGTCTCCCTTGCCCTTGGAGCAGGTCATCGCTTCCAGCCAGCAGCCTTGTTTTGACAGAGCTGTTTTCGTGGTGTCAGCACAGGGCGCCTTTGGGGAGCGGGCGCTGCTGCAGCCGGGGATTTCTGAAGCGGCTATTGTCGGTGGAAGGGCCGCTGGGCCGCGGCCAGGCGCGAGGCACTGCATCCCTGCGGCCTTGAGCGGGCTGCCGCGCTTGGTGCAGCTGCAAAAGCTTTGGGCTCCTGCCTGGCACTTGCAGAAATTGTCGTGGAATTTGCTGATTCTGCCAGACGCGAGCTAAACGCTTGTTCCCGAGTGGTGTGTCCCATCAGAACAGCTGTTGGTTATGAAAAACATGCAAGGGCTTTTGTCTGTAATAATAAAGCTTTGTTGAAGTATTGCAAGCTCAAAATATTCTGAGTAATACTGTTAAACAGTACCTCCTTGCTTAGCCTATAGGGAGCTTTTATTCCCCCGTGCTTCAGTTAAAATGTTCATTTATTGCTGTCACTTATGTCAGAGGCGGGGAGGGAGGGAGGCTAAATTTTCCCTCCGTACTGTCAATAAGGATTAACTGACATTGTTGGGCAGCGCTTTCAAAATATTCTGACCTATTTACACAACACAACTGATCAGAGCAAAATAAACAGTTCTGGTCAGTGGCTGAATGCTGTATTGTGGCAGCTGTATTTGGCAGTGGATTTTCTCATCATTTCTCCGATGTAGACAAAACCTGAACGCTACAGAAATCTTGAGCGTTAGGCTTACTGAATAACTTGGTTCTCCTATTGCCTTTTGGGGAAAGGGGACAGTTTGGCCGTAATGCAGTTGGAACAAATGCTTACGAAGCAATTGACAAAAAAGCATATGAGCAGATTTATCATTTTGCCATGCAGGGTAATAAATAATTGCATCATTTCCAGCAAGCTGCAGTATATGCCTGTGAGATGGTGGATCTCTCTCCAAGGTGTAATCTCTGCAAAGAAGCATTAAATAGGGAACTGTGGCAGACTGTAAGAATTGTTGGTTTCCTGCCTGGGTTTTATTTTTTCGTTTTGTAACAAACATAGCGGATACTTAGAGTTACCTCCTCATTTTTATTTGGTATTCCCTAAGGAATGAATCAAGTGAAATGTTTCGTTTTAGCTGGACAACCATGCTGTATTTCCTGGGTCACGGATTTTTTTTGGTAGCTCGGAGGATAAAATTGTCTGACACTCAATATAGGAAATACCTCTTTCTGTCTTGCATCTTCAACTCGGATTCTGAGAATACTGAAACTAAGCATTTTTAAACTTGTCTTTTTTTTTTCCCCAATTCCATTTAGTGATAGTCCCAATGCTGTCCATGAGGTGGAAAAGTGGTTACCACGACTGCACTCAGTTGTCATAGGACCTGGCTTAGGTAGAGATGAAGTTCTACTTGAGAATGCTAAGGTAATGTGTATACTGATATTTTATCCTGTGTCTTTATGTTGAAGTTTATTAACCAATTTCCTATCTTTTACATGAGTACACAAATGCTTTTGATAGGGTTACTAAATAACAAATTTAATAAAATGTTGTTGACTGAAAAATACAGCTGTTAGTCATGGTCTTCATTATTAAACTGTAAGCATCACTCTGAATTTTAGGCACCCATATGGTTGTTTTGATTTGCTTTTGTTTTGATTGTGAAAGTCGCTGATTAAGAAATAGATGTTGGCATCTCTAGATAAAGGGCTCTATGTTTTCTTAGGTGCAAAGCACCTGTACTGTACTGTAAGAACATAAATATGAATTTGAGCTCACAATTTTTGGAATCATACTTGACAACTTGCATCAGGAGGGGGTACCAAGGAACAGGGACTGTGTCCTCTTGCAATAAGAAATAATGCTCTTAACTGTAAAATGTTGCAGATTTCTACTCTGGATAAAGAGGTAATCCTATTTTCTGTCAAGCCTTAGTGGAGAGCTGAAAACAGGAGCTTAGATAGTTCTGTACTCTAAATAATATGCACTTACACTGTCTTCCAGATGATGTCTAGTATTACTGTCAACACATCTTTGTACATTCAAATTATATCTTTCAGTCCAATGTCAATCTAATTTTATACAATTTTAATTTTTTTTTCCTGAGAAGTATTACTGAATTAATCAGTGATACTAACAAGTGGAATTAATATAATATACAGAAATGTTGACAGTTACATAGTGAAATTGTAAAACAGGGGGAGGCAAGAGACTGGAGACCACACTATCCAAGTAGTTTAGAATACCTTGAGAGCTATGGACGGTAGTTTTGCTAGGCTTTTGTTGGAGAAAGTTGCTATTGGAGCTCTTCGCTTCTTTAATTCTCCTTCTGCTTCCAAAAAATATTTGGTTTATGATACAGAAGTGCAAAACTAATAAAGAGCATGGATTCGGAAAGAAAGAAAAAAAGAAATTTATCACAGCTGATCAAGAAATCAAATTCTATTCTGAATGAAAAATTTCAACATTTTATTCTTTTTTGAAAGCATTTTTTCAGAATTCTATTTACAAAAAAATATTTTGGAAGTTATTTTTCTTTTTTCTTGGTTTTTAAAAAAAATTAAGTTCTTTTTTTTCTAAAGGAAAACAACTTTAAACAAAAGAAAATAAGAATTCATTTGGAATATCCAAGATACTTAACACAAGCTGCCTTTATATCAGAATTCCATCTGGGTTTTATAAATATCTGTCAGTGTTGTTATCTGTATTACAGAAGTATCTGGAAAATGCCTTGATTGTATTCTTTTCTTATCCTTGCTAAAAATAATTTTGCTTTCTTAGTGAATTACAAGCATGCTTTTACTTCAGCCTGGCTGTCCTGTGGTGAGCTAGCTTAAAGTTAAAGAAACAAACCCAGCCAATGAAGACAAGGCGTTTGGAAGTCACTGTGGGCTAAAATCTCGGGCCATGTTCATTTGTGCTGTGGATCTGACTTTATTAATTTCAAGTCACACTAAACCTCAAGTTCTTTGTCTTCCCTGTACTTATGTAACTGTTCATAAACTACTCAATGTTGGGTTTTTTTAATCCAACTACCATAATCTTCTAAATTCTTTGTTCGGCCAGAAGTTTTAGTAAGTGCATGTAATTGGGCACAAGTGAACCCTGACTGACGGCTTGAGGAAGACCGGTGCTTTGTGCTGAGGAAAGGCTGAGTCTCCCTCTTGCTTTTGACAGTGAATTTTAAGCTTTGTATCACTTCACCTTCAAGAAGAAAAGCAAGTGATGATAGCGTTGCTATTTTAAACTTTTATAGGAGGCTGGCTTGGTATAAATTTTCTGTTTTCCCTTTAAGCTAACCTCAGCATGCTGTCATATGAATACAGGGCTGAGATGTGGATTAGTGTCTGCTTTCTGGTCAGGGCTTTGTATCAGAGTGGCAGGGAGGATGGGAGAGAGCTTCCCATCTTCCTCCTCCTGCCCCATTAAAGTGCTGAGGCGTAGTGGTCTGTCACCTCTCTGATGCTGGTCTTATGTCAGTTCTTGTCAGTATTGTGCCAGCACATTGCCAACGATTGTCCTTGTCCAAGCAGTGTTTGGCCTGCTGCTCTCTTCTGAGCATTGAGAAATTAAGATACTAACGCAGTAACCTGCAATTTCTGGTATACAACCCGTGGACACTGTTTGATTGTGGAATAGCCTGAGTACTTGTTGACCAGATGGTGCATCTTCTCTCTCTCCAGACCAGAGAATACTTTGCTTCCTCAGCATCTTTACTCTATCACCTGCTTCCCTTGTGCTCAATGCCTCCAGTGCATGCCCTGTGGCATTTCTGGTCCTTTTTAACGGTCTGATGGAAAAGCAGCACCTTGTGATGAGTTTCCTTTGATTTTTTTTTTTTTTAATTTTTTTTTTCCTTCTTCTTGAGAGTAGTGATACTCTTTGAATACATACCTACTGGCTTCCCGTGATTGTCTGGTTTTGGTTGTAATTCTGTTTACAAGTCCTGTTACAAGAAGCCACCCTACAAGTTATATCCCTCTCTCATATGCCACTTATGTGAGTCTGTGCCAAAACCCTCACATGCTGTTCCTCAGTTGCCTGGGTGAGGGCTGATGCTCTCTCACAGATTTCTAGCCATGGGATTGCAGGACCAGGAGCTGCAGCTTCAGCAAAATCTCCTGTAGAAAGCATTTGTTGTGTGCACAGCATAGCTGTGCAGCTGGATCCCATGCCGATGTGTCAATCCTAGTCTTGGCCTAGTTAGACCCTTCAACTGGGGAGCAAGTAAGCAGTCCAGGCTATTTCTCTTCAAGTGAAAGGAACAAAACCGCATTTCTGCTCCACTTCTCAGCTCTAGTGTGTGCAGATTGAAGCATCTCTGCTCCCCATTCTGTGTCAAATTTCTGAAATGCTGTACGGTATCTGGTGTGGAACTTGGCTACCACGGCCAGCTTCCTTGTAGGCAACATCAGGCCATCTGTTTTTGTCTTGCAGTGTCCGTGACTGATTCTGGCCAGAGATGGCAGCACCATTACTTCTCCAAGTTCACCTCAGTTGATATGCGCTTGGTGGTGGTTTAGACACTGCTGAGAAAGAGTTTAGCTGCTGTGTAGAAGCAAGGCCAAGGTCCCTACAACTGTCCTCTGTCAGTACTTAGAAGCAGTGTATTTCCAAAGCTATTGGGTGTTCTCCTTTTTTCACACAACAGCAATGTTAAGTGCCTATCTCATCTACCCACTACAGTGTTCTTCATTCAGCCGTTCTGGGGATGTTTGCACTTACATTCTTACTCTGGTCTGATTTTTCTTTGTAGCCTGAGGCTTGGAAGTAGGGGAATTCCCACGTGTAGCACTGAGAGCTGTTCCTCAGGTTTGTAAGAGAAACAAGTTGCTCTCCTGCAGGGTGGTGAGTGCAGCTCCTGAGAGGACTTTGGAAAGAATGTTATATTCCTTGCATAGCCCTCTGGGGGAGGAGATGGTGCTGCCTAATGCTCCAGGACATTCTGCATTCGGCTGCTGCCCAGCAGTTAGGCAGTTACAGGCTTAGCTGAGTCCTGTATCAGTTTCTAGCCTCTTGTCATCTCCTTTCTCCTCCTACTCCTGGCCTGAATGTGATGTTCCTGTCCAATTTTCTGCTTCTGAGTTTGGTGAATCTTTATTGGGTACGTTACTGGCTTTGTGGTCAAATGGACTGATACAGAATTGTTGGTAGAACAGTAGTTACTATTGGGATCAAGCAGAGAAAACCATCCATCCTGATGAAGAGCCCTTAATTGAAGTAAGGCTTCGACATTGCCTGTCTCCCTGAAGTGGTAGCACCAAATTGCGAACTCTGCCACTCTTGCCGTGTTTGTCTTGCAGCAGCAAAGTTAAGATTCGTGTTTTCAGCAGAGCATGCTTGCTTCCCTCCTGTAGGAGAGGTAATGATTAACAGCAAGAATGGCTCTGTGTAACTCAGATTACACGGTAAAATGGACTGAGTTCTCAAACAACATACTTGTTCCTCTTGTTCAATTCTCAGTCTTTGTTTTAGGTCCAAGAAAACATTCCCAATTCCAGCCTAGATGGTTCTTCTTTTTGACTGAGGCCCTGCCCACCTGCCGTTTCGGCCCATTGCTGTTGCTCTTCCTCTCCGCAACTCTCACACTGCGATGTCAGGCAGTCATTGGCCCTTAAAGATCTGTGCTATCTGTTGGGATATAAATTTCAGAAATCTAATTTTTCACCCCTAGTGACATTATCTTAAGGTTGCGTGGAAATGTCTTGGCTGTAGTTAATGTCTAGCAAAGGGTGGGAGAGGTCTGGGCCATTGTCATGGATCACCTCCATCAAGCGTGCCCAGAGAGAGCCCATTTGAAGTTTTCTCTTTCAGATAGACTTTCAGTTCCACCTCAACTGAGGTATCAGCCTTTCTGTGGTTTTGGTTAGTTGGATTAATTTCACCCCTTCAAGCGTCCTGCCTTCAGGATTTAGGCAACACTTTACAGCCTTAGTAGACTGTGAGAACAGGACCAGGTGCTTCAGTGCACTATCTGCACTAGTTTTTGCAAGCTCAAAAGGGCTGCCAAATACAGAGCTGCCTTTTGTTGTCATAGCAGTCTGTTAAAGCTAAATCTGGTGCTATGGGCTTTGAGAAGCATACTCCTCTTGCCAGCTGAGCAGCCCACCGGGTACCAAGTATAAGACACCTGAGAAGCATCCCAGACTAATGTTGTGGTTGATAGGTTAGTAGTGTTATCCGTGGTACCTACCGCCGTGTATGAATGTGAACGACAGGATGTGTTAGTCTTTGGAATCACTGCTCATGTTGACTCAAGTTAGCAGAAAAATTACTTACCAGAATCAATTCTTCAAGATGTGTCACGTGCATTTGCTTCCTGCCCTGTTTATGTCCTCCAGAGATTCCTGCCGTGGGGATTCCATAGGGACCTAAAGTAGCAGCAAGGACATGCCACTTTCTGTTCTCAGCCTTCAGTTAGGAGG